CTGACCCAGAAACGGCTTTACGGGTGGAAATCGGAGTCATACTACACCTCCCAACCAAAACCTTGAATATTCTTATATATTCCTTCGGTTTTGGTGACACGGATTTTCACAACCGTGGAGGCGTTCACATTTTTGTTTTTGGTACATGTATACGACATGTCTAAGTAGTTGGGGTGGGTGGGGTGGGGCATGTTAACGTTCCCTGCACTTGCGTGGAGTGTTGATGCTATGGGTTATGTTAACGTTCATGTTGACTGGGGTGTGGTGGGGTGGGGTGGGGTGGGGCATGTTAACGTTCATGTGCACTCGCGTGGGATGTTGATGCTATGGGTTATGTTGACGTTCATGTAAACTGGGGTGGGCTGGGGTGGGGTGAGGCATGTTAACGTTCATGTGCACCTGCGTGGGATGTTGACGCTATTTGTTGCGCTCACGTTCATGTTAACTGGGGTCGGGTGGGGCGGGGCATGTTAACGTTCATGCGCACTTGCGTGGGATGTTGATGCTTTGGGTTATGTTAGCGTTCATGTTAACTGGGGTGGAGTGGGGTGGGGCATGTTCACTTGCGTGGGATGTTGATGCTTCGGGTTACGTTAACGTTCATGCTAACTGGGGCGCGGTTTCCAATGGATCCATCAGCATAATTCCAGAGTATGACACCGCAACCCGGCGAAGCAGAAAAATGACCGCTTGACAAATTTTCGTCGTCCGTCGCACAATTCCATGTTTTAAACGCGCTCAATTAAAACGCAGGCGATTTGCTCACTGCTCACCCACGATAAGCGTACGGTTGCGAGAAGCTGTGTTGCCTTGTTTTTCATAGTATTGGCCTTTTTATTTGTTTGAACTGAAGTTGGGCTTGTGGTCACAGGCGGAGAGGGCATCGGACGCAGAGTCAGCTGAGCCAGAGGCGCAAACAAGAAGTGTGGAGTGTAGATAGATCTGTTTTTGGGCAAATGTTTGAAACGCGCTTGCCAAGTTTGGTTAAGCAGGTGCAAAAGCCTTCTTCTGCTGACCCAGAAACGGTTTTGCAGGTGCAAACCGGAGTCATACTACATCTCCCAACCAACCAGAACCTTGATGATGACTGTTCCCTTGTTTTACATAGTTGGCCTTGTTTTTTGTTTGCTTTGAAGTTGGGCTTGTTGTCACAGGCAGAGAGGGCGTCGGAGGCAGAGTCAGTTGAGCAAGAGGCGAAGACAAGAAGTGTGGAGTGTAGATAGATCCGCTTCTTGTAGAAGTTTGTTGGCCAAGTTGGTCAAGCAGGTGCAGCAGCCTGCTTCTACTGACCCTGAAACGGCTTTACAGGCTGGAATCGATGTTGCGCCACATGTCCCAACTAACACGTTGGTGGCCGCGCCTGGTCAAGTAGTTTGCACATGTATGACCGTTGCTGGCAGGTGGGGTTGGGTTGGGTTGGGTGGGGGGGGGGGGGGGGGGGGGGGGGGGGGAAGATATTAGCGTTCACGCGCGCATCCGCACATGCGCTGGAACGTGCATTGACACATCGGCGAATGCATATTGACCTTCACGTCGTACCGTGCGTGAACATGAATGAGGGCGTCATGCTTCAACACATGTACTCCTGGCTTTGGCGTTTGACCTGCAACTGGGCTGTGCATCCAGAGTGAAGTGAGCTTCAGAAATCGCAGTTGCACTTCCGGGGGTGACTTCGACCCCGCAACGCTCCGAGACTTGAAGAAGGGAAAAGACTCTATACAAGTGTCTTCAAAACTGCAGCGAAACAATTACGGACCTTCCGAGCAAGCAAACCTCGACCTCTTCCAAAACAACATACTCAATCCCAAAACATCACAAGAGATCACAAGAGTGGGAAAATCAGCGGTCGCCGCAAAACAACAACTCAAAAAAATAAAACATTAAAAGAACTCTCAAATGCACGCTGCGACCAAAACCTTGCCTGTGATCAGTATTCCCTTGTTTTACATAGTATTGGCCTGATTATTTGTTTGCTTTGAAGTTGGGTTTGTTGTGGCAGAGAGAGCGTCGGAGGCAGAGCCAGCTGAACAAGAGGCGGGGACGAGCAGTGTGGAGTGTGGATAGAATCCGCGTCTTCTGCAGATGTTGTAAATATCGCGTTTGTCAAGTTTGGTCAGCAGGTGCAAGAGCCTGCTGCTGCTGCTGCTGTTTATGCCAAACATACTGTTTATGTTGATATTTACATTTGTATAATCACAAAAAGTCGCCTTTGTTGTGTGTTGATCTTGATCGTTGCAATGGGGATGGGGAATCGCTATTGGAGTTCCTTTCGATGGTGCACGTTTCAAATTCACTTGCTTGGTTGCACTGTGTGGAGGACTTTGCGCGTACGCAGCAAACCGGCAGCGTGTCAACGTTCCAAATCTTTGTGGGCGGGGAACTTTTGATCACTGCGGATGCTTCGGAGGCAGTTGCTGTTGTGTCAGTCGTTGGTGAACGAAGTGCCACAAAGCGATGCTTTTAGCCATGCGCAATTCGCCCATCATCACTGAAATTTCAGACGCTACTGTTCAGAGTTGCAACAGGCAGAGAGGGCATCAGAGTCAGGGCCATCTGAGCAAGAGGCGGAAGACAAGAAGTACCTAAAAAGGGTTGTCACCCTTGTCAACATGTCATCGGTTCCGTTCGTTGTTGCTTTTGATTTGCAAAATGTTGGTTTGTTGCTGGGTCAAGAATGGTGGAAGCACTTCACTGCGCCACAGGCTGCTTTACAGGCTTGGCGCTACCTGCGCTGGAGCAACATTACATTAATTTTATATGGACCCTCCCGTCGTAAATTATTCCAGGGTAGGGTCACCCCCAGGAATATTTGTTCAGAATAACTTTTTCGGAATATTAAAACCACCATGTTGAAGTTGGGGTGGGTGGAGGGTACCCTGGAATAATAAGGTCGGAGTTGACTTGCTCCACCATGTTCCCCTGTTGGGGTGGGCGGGTGGGACCCTGGAATAATATGATCAGAATGGACTTTAAAGGCATGATAAAGGAATGATGTCATAACTTCAAAAAGCCACATCACATGCTCGCATTTGCAGCTGGCTTAAAATCCAAAAACGATCGCAATCATGGGGGAACAGGAAAGGCGTCACAAGGATCCTTGTGACGCCTTTCGTTCTTAAACCTTCAACCTCTCTTGCCAGAAAAGAGGGCTGTCAGATCTGTGGCGAAAAAAGTGGCTCGGGCCATCTCCGGCCAAATGCTCCCATTGCGTAGGGGTGATCACGTCAAAGCCGCCCTAGACTTAAGTCTGCTGTCTAGAAGCCTGTGACTTCCAGGACGGCGAGTTCACGCCAGAAGCCAGACCCAGAAACCAAACTTGGGAACTGTCAGATCAGTGCTCGTAGGTCATAGGCGCTCCAGCCACATCTTTCTTGTGGACTCTGAAGCTGTAGATTGTGTAAGGTTGTACCCCAAAATTGCACATTTACTTCCTGTTGTATATCTCTGCTCAGTAGACAGCTAATTGCTAAATTATTCCATGGTCTATCACATCAAACCCACCCTGGAATTAGTTTAGCCAAGGAAAGAAACCACACCAAATTCGGCACTAAATGTTTGAGCTGGTCTCACCAAAACTCGGGAGTAGACCCGAGACCAGGGAATAAGAAACTGTCAGGTCACAGGTGCTGGGTCATAGGCGCCCTAAAAAACACCGTGGTTGTGGATTCTGAAGCTGTGAGATGAAGTGAGGTGTGTAACCTGAAGCTGCAGATTTGTGGAAGCTCGAAGATTTGTGCCTCAACAGGGCAAGTTTGCCTTCTAGACAGCTAACTGCTAAACTATTCCAGGGTCGAGCACATCAAACCCACCGCTGGGATTACTTTTTTCGTTGGTGGCTCTCATTGCTTGCTGTGTGGACTGAAATAATTCCAGCTGTGGGTTTGATGTGATAGACCTTGGAATATTTTAGCAGCTGGCTGTCTACTGAACAGTGGCCTACAACCATGGGCAAGCTTCCCATTTTGGCGCACATATCATATCTTGCACAATCTACAGCTTCAGGTCACACGTCTCACAGCTTCAGAGTCCACAAGAAAGATGTGGCTGGGGCGCCTATGACCTAGGAGCCCTGATCTGACAGTTCCCAAGTTTGGTTTCTGGATCTGGCTTCTGGCGTGAACTCGCCGTCCTGGAAGTCACAGGCTTCTAGACAGCAGACTTAAGTCTAGGGCGGCTTTGATGTGATCACCCCTACACAAGGGGAGTTTTTCACAGCTCCACAGATCTGACAGCTCTATTTTCTGAGAGAGTCCACAACAAAGATTTGGTTAGGTCGCCTATGACCTGGCACCCTTGATCTGACGGTTCCTGCTCTGTGTCTGCTCCCAAGTTTGGTTTCTGGGTCTGGCTTCTGGCGTGGGCTCGCCGTCCTGGAAGTCACGTGGCGGGTTGCTGATCTGAAAAGTTCAGCCGTTTGGCCGCGTGTTGGATCACTTGGCGCGACCGGAAACGAGGAGGAATCAAAACGCAGAAGATCACTGTAGTGAAACTGAACCTGTGTTTTGGAGCGCGTGTAGGATCACTTATAGACTGCAAGGCAGACATGGCTGTAAAATGCTGTAAATTATTCCTGAAAGGTGTTCACATATGGAATAATTGTTGGCCAGGTGTAGGTCCACCACCCCTGAATAATAAAAACAATATTCTGGGGCCCCATCCACCCCGGGGCCCCAGATGGGAGGCCCCATAATTTTATGTAGCACTACAGGTACTGTAGCTTAGACGCGCTCGCCTCGTCCTTATTGGCCCCTTTGCTTCCAAAAGTCGCAATTTTGTCGCAGGCAGGAATGGCGTCAGCGTCAGTGTCAGAGCCAGCTGATCCAGAAGCAAAAACAGCAAGCATCAGCAAGCTCGTAGATGCGGTGTTGCTCCATTTGTTTGGAGTTTGTTGGCCAAGTTTGATTGATTGTCACTATATATGTTTTCTCTTGCCCCAGATTCTGCTCTAGGGCAGCACGCGCGCAAAACTTTTGGTTTGCTGTCATTCCACATGTCCCCACAACATGTTTGTGACATTTTGTGATTGCTATTGCCTTGTTCAGCATAGTATTGAGTATTGGCTAGTATTCATTGAAGTTTGTGAACATCCCATTGTCACAGGCAGATGGGACATTGGAGCCACAGCCAGATGACCAAGAGGCAGAAGACGAGAAGCTCTCATAGATTCTTTCTTTGGAGAGTTTTAGTCGGTAGTCCTATGTAGTCCTGTTTTTGCTGCTCCAGACCCTGCTTTGCAGGTTTGATGCTGCCAAAGCAGCATCATAGTCAAGTTCTTTTAACCTTAGTCCGCGTCATGTTTATTTATTTGCAGTGTTTCCGTTTGATAGTTGAAACATTGCGGGAGGCAGAAAGGGCATCGGAGTCAGTGCCAGCTAACCAAGAGGCGGAATGAAACGCAAATTAAAAATATCAAACAGCGCTGCTAAATATCTACGTGTTTGATCGTTTTTGCTGATTCGCAGAGCTTTTGTCCGGACAACATTTGCTCCGATTGCCACTGAACCAACTAGGTGGAGGAAGCTGCGCTCACTCTCCCAGAGGCTGCAATAGAGTCATTGGAGGCCTCATGCTGTTGTACCTACATCAGACCGACATTCTGGATTTTGAATTCTGGCGATGCAGTCATTCAATATTTCACAAAATGGTTTTCCAAGAAGGCTCTTGCCTTGTTTTGCATCGTCCATGGCCAGTATCCTTCCCTTCAAAAATTGCGATGAACAAGCGATGATGTCACGGTCGTGCTTGGTGACGGTGTTGTGATCATGCTGGAAATTGCGTCGCATGGCAAGTTGGTAGCTGTCGGGATGGCTCAGCAGGGCTTGGGGAAGAGTTGTTGCAGGGTTCACCTGACTTCAGGAGGAGCTTTTCTTTGCAATTGATGGGTGTCTAGAGCTGTGGGCGGGACCGCGGGGCTGGATGATCTTGGACAGTTCCAGCATGCAAGGATAGCTTTTAAGTAGAGTCGGGAAGGCCATAGATGGCACATCCCTCTTGTGGTGCTGGCATCAAGCAGAGTGAAAGTACTGAAAGGCGAGCAGAACGCAAACTCGCCTGCAAACACATGCAGATCTCGGTGCTAACTAACACATTGCCAACGCAAATCAGATTTTCAATTTACAATGTGTGCACTATGGTGCGCTTGTGACCAGGCCCCAGCTATTCACGTAATTACAAAAGCTTTGAGACCCCAACCCTAAATCAATTCGGGCGTGGTCCAGGTATTCTGTTTCGCTTTCACAACTTGTTGCCACGCGTGGGTGTGTGTGTGTGTTGCACGAAGTCGTTCTCAATGCAAAAACAGCAAAACAGATAACACATTGTTGGGCGTGATTACGTTTGGCTCCCAGAGTGGCCTACGGTTTGGCATCCCTATTGTTTTGTCTTCCACTTGTTTCTCATCTCTTCTCTCCATTCAGTATTTCGAGGCGACTTGGTTCGGCTTCCTGCTGTTCCAAGATGACTTGGCCTTTGCGCCCCTACTTGTGGTTTTGCAGGCTTTCCAATCTGGAATCTATTCGAAGATGGCTTGGCCCCGTACATGTCTCCCCACTTGTCTCCTAACTTCTCTGCCTACATGCACAGCAAAAGAATCAAAATGAAAGATGGAAGGAAGGAAGGAAGGAAGGAAAGAACTCGGTTCCTAATTTAGCTTTCTCCTTGCCTCCGACTATGCATTACGCATTGTGCATTATTTGCATTCATGTCTCCCTTCATGTCCTCCACTGTGGTGGCTTAGATGCAGCATGTGCTTTTTGTTGGCTGTTTTCGGTCGATGGTTGTGTAGCTGCAGTGTTCCCGACCCGCAAGCTGACCAAGTTGACAGATACCCTTGGATCCTCTTGAGTTTTTGAAGTCGGGTCGGTGTGATGCTACCTGCGCCGCAGCAGCACGATTGCTAAGATTTTGGATCGTTGTCATGCGTTTCTTTGTTAAGTATTTTGTAGTACAATTGGCTCGTTGTCACAGGTGGAGGCAGCACCAGCTGACCAAGAGGCTTGAACAAGAAGCATTGGTTGATGGATGGATATGTGCTCATCATTTCAAGTCTATTTGATGGGGAAGTTTGGTGAAATCGGCGCTGCATCAACAGTGAGGAACGTGTCGTTGCTGCTCCAGATGATGCTTTGCAGGCTTGGAATGCGCTGTATTTCTAGAGGGTGTTACTGAGGTTAGCCCAACATAGTCGCCACATCAAGCAGGTGGAAGAAGTTGCTTTTGCTGCTTCATATTCTGATTTATAGACCTTGACCGCCTTGACCCAAGTGATGTTTTTCAAAAACCGATTGTTACTATATGCCCTGACCCAATATTGCCTATGTTCACGGCTTCTCTTTGCTCGGACACGACATAAATGACAAATGCACCGTAAGTAAAGACGAACGCATTGACTGAATCCGCAGCGTCTCGGCTTCAGCTGTATGGCAGGGGGCATGAGTGGGAGAACTGCTCGTGTACCCTCTGTTTGGCTACCCGCCAGATCCTCTCAGTGCTTTACGACCCGGAGGTCAGTGGGGCGGTGCAGAGGCTTGGCGTGCTGAACTTCGAGATCTTGCAGAGAGGGGGGGAACAGAGGCTGCCACCTCTGGAACTCCCGGGGCTGGCGGTGGAGAACTCCCGGTAGAGGGAGGGACAGCAAAGAAGGAGAAGAAGGAAAAGAAAGCCGCCAAGGAAGCAGCCAAGAAGAGCCCTGCAGCAGCCCCCAGCAAGCCCAGTACGCCCGTTACTCGCGTGAAGGAAGAAGAGAGACCCAGAGATGAGCCCAAGCCAGCAGAGGATAGCGCCAGACCATCTACAGGCCCGGAGCCCGACCGAGGAGGAAAAGAGTGGATTTCCCGGTGTTGAGGAGCCGGCCAAGAAGGAGACCAGGAAGGAAAGAAAAGCGGTGGTGAAGAGCCCACAAATGGTGAGAGGAAGCGGGCTCATCGCGCAGCAGGAGAAGGAGGAAGAAAAACGACAGGGAAGACACCCAGCCAAAGTCCCAGACTAAGGTCGTGTGAGGAAGGAAGGACCTCCCAGCCCATCCAGGTTGCCCAGCGAAGAGAGGAGGCCTATTCCAGCCCCACCGCCACGGCCTCCACCAATCCGTATCCCTACCAGCAACGCAGAGCGCAGAGCAGCGCCTCCACCAAGGGTTCTCCCGATCGGAGAGGGAGGGCTCAACCCGAGGACAAGGCCGAGGAAGCGGTTTTCTCGTTGCCTGTGTATAGGAGGCAACAAGGGGCAGATCGTCCTCCTCCCGGGTACGGAGAGGCGGCTGAGGCCTACGCGAAGTCAGGCAGCCAGCAGCCGACAGGCTCAGAGATTACAAGGAGGAGTACTACTGAACAATATGCCGCCGAGGAGAAGACCCGCAATAGCAGCCAGCGATCGCGGAGCTGCCGGAGGAGCACGACCCGGTGTCCTGTGAGGAGGCCAGCCATCCGAGGAGGAGGAGCCCCTCCCGAAGCAGCAACCAAAAAAAAGTGGACAAGCCCCGCAAGATCCGCAAGCGGTCACGCTCCCGGAGCCACAGCAGGGATACACCAAACCGTGTCTCCCAAAGGGGCTCACGGGGAGGATGTCCGGTTGACGCTAGTTGGAAACTCCTGGAATGCGGGAGTCATTGTCTGGTTGCTCGAAAAGTTGCTGGGGCCGCTGGGACTTTGGCAATGTCCCGGGCTTGCTCCTGCGTCCTCCACTGAACCACCAGGGACACCTAAAGCAGGCCAATGAAGGTCCATTGCTGCGTAGGTTGGTTGGACTTGTTTCTATGAAGGGAGAAGACCTCATGGTGCAGACATCCACGGAACCGCAGGTGGTCAAGTTTCACAGGTTGAGGTCCAGCGCACCAGGTAAACTGCGGAAGTGGCGAGAGGTAGCTGGTTGGCGCTGGAAACGTTCTGGAGAACGTATTAATCTTCTGGAGCTGCGCGCGATCCTTACTACCCTCCGCTGGCTTGTTGTGAGGAAAGGCGTTCGAGGTCGTCGCTTTGTACATCTTACCGATAGTTTAGTGTGCTTACATGCGTTGTCCAGGGGTCGGAGCTCCAGCCGAAAATTGAGGCGTACCATCTCCAGGATCAACTCACTCATGCTTGCTGCTGACCTTCACCCCATTTGGGGTTGCATCCATATACAAGTGAAAACCCGGCTGACCGACCCAGTCGGCGGCCGTTGCAGCGCAAATAGGGAAAGTGAAGTCGCACCTTGAAGGGCGTAGGAAGGAAGAAAGAGCGCATACTAGACAATCGTTAGGAACATTGCAAGACCTCGCCGTTCAGCCAAAGACACGAAAGAGATACAATGAAGCCCGGGAAAAGTTCTACACCTACCTCCGGCACAATGACTTGACCATACCCACACAAACCCTAGCCTTCGATGAACTCGTTGCGGATTACATTGAGCATCTCTGGAGTACAGGTGAAGGACGTGCTCTAGCTAGCGACACAGTGGCAGGTATTCAAGACGCGGCGCCGCATGTGAAAGGGAAGTTGCAGGTTACTTGGCGACTCCTTGAGACCTGGCATGTGAATGAGATCCCTTGCCGTGCACCTCCCCTGCCTGAAGACTGTTTGTTTGCTATGCTTGGCTGCACTTTGGCCTCACTCTCGTCATAGGCTTCTAGGAGTTACTGGGGTTGCGCAATAATCACATCCTCATGACTGCTCCCGATCGACCGGCTGTGATCTCATTAGGCCTTACCAAAGGAGGCAAGCGCGCTGGGGCAGCAGAAAGCGTAACAATTTCTGTGAAATGTGCACTTCAATGGCTCTGAAAACAACTGCTTCACGACACTGCCCGTTGGCCCCCAAACCACACGCGCGGCGGAAAATGTTTGGTGACTGCATCAAAGCGTTGAATTTAACGAGTTTGAATTTCGGCCTTACAGCTTGCGGCGCGGTGGCGCTACGTGCTGGTTTGGTCGGCGCGGCTCTTTAGATCGTATTTTGGCGTTAGGACGTTGGGCTGG